CCTCTTCAGGGTCTCGGAATTACATCACGAGACCCTCGCCATCTCCAACAGGTGAAATGTGTGAAGATAAGAGAGAAGTCAAGAAACAAAGGCAGAGGCCCTGTTTATAGACTTTTCATTTGATTCAAGTCTTGTGTTCTCTCATGACAGGGTCACGAGTGCATCGGTTTGACCCTACGGCCTACATTCAAGACCGACAACGACGCCAAAAAGAGGCTGAGATGAAGAAGTAAGACACTTTCACCTTTTCAGTTTGAAGTTATCTTTTCTGTTGCGTTTCTGCTGTTTAGTGTTTTATTTGTTGTCTTTTTCCTACAAGCATTGCCCTGTCTGTGTGCAGTAATACAGTTTACTTTGAAAAGTGTGAACTAGATGCTTTCTTTGTCCCTTGCATGAATTCGTTTTCTCAAATGTTGATCCTCAGTCATGGATATGGTACATCAGTGTAAGAAAAAAAAGTGTATGACTTTTGGCATCAGGCTGATAAAAAAATGAGTCTTATGTCTGTTTGACAAGTTATAATCTGGTAGAATTTATTTGTAGGCAGCTGCACCTAGGGTTGGGTACCGAAACCCAGTACCAATATGGCACCGGTACCTATGTAACCGGTATGTACTAGAACCAAATCAGAATGCAGATTTCGGTGCCTCATTTCGGTGCCATGCCTGAGCGATCGATTGAAATATTTGTCCTCTGGTTCTCCGAAACGGATGTAAGAAGCATCATCGCCGGCACCGCACGTGAAAAATAATTTCCCGACTGAGAAATTAGGGATGCACCGATACCACTTTTTTCAGAACGAGTCCGATACCGATACTTTCATTTTTGGTACTCGCCGATACCTGGATTTTCACAGCATTTGTAATTTTTTTAAATATTGGGTACAGAAATAAAATAATAATAATATGAATCATGTTAGTTGGCTTCAGTTACCTTCAGTTATTTCCACACTTAATTATACCTGTTAAAATGTATTGTATAAGCTTTTGTTACTTTCACTGTTCATTTTAATGGCACATTAGAGCTGCTCCATTGCAGCAGCTCAATACTGTAATCACAAAACGTTTTCCTAAAATAATGCAGGGAACCACTCGTTATACATTATACGAGTGCACGCATACTATTTTGGTGATGTAATTTGCGTCACGCGCAGTGAAGTAACCGAAGTATACTTTGGCCTTAAAGCAAGCATATGCAGCGCGTAAAATAAACGCAGCGCGTGGTGCAGAATGAGAGAGACACTTACAGCCTAGCGCATTTCACCCAGTCTGCTAGTTTCACTTCTGCTTTAAATAAAGTTGTGTATGCTTGACGTTTAAAATAAATGCTGTTTATAGTGAATGTAGCAAGGGTTTTTTAAATAATATAATAAATAAAAAGAAAACTGATAGAATAGAAAAAGAATAGAGCAAGCTAGTGTTAGAGGTCTTTTTTGCTTTTATTAATTGTATAATAAATGAAAAGAAAACAGATAGAATACAAAAAGATTAGAAAGCAAGTGTTCGTTTTTTTTGAACACCAGTCAAATGCTTCCTTTTGTGATCTGGCTTCTTGTCACAGAATGAGGCAGAAAATATGTTCCATAGGCTACTTTAAAAAATACTTCGATTAGCAATGGATTATAAATATACTTAATTATTATAAAAATACCAGAGATGGCTTGAATAACACAGATAAACTATAGTCGCAGTCGAGTGTTTATTGTCTTTGTTTTATCATTCAAAACGTTTATATGTTCTGTTTACTCAGTTACAGCTATAATAGCATGTCTTTGTCCATATAAGGGATTTCCTGGAGGATCATGAGTTCCGCTTCTTCTGTAATTGGATATGTGGATTTTCTGTGTGAGGGCGCCCTCTGGCATCCAGTATGAATGAAACGGACATCATGTGTTTATAGTGCTAATGGCCAATCTATCAATTTTTGGGGAATTTTTATTTATTTTTATTTTTTTAAAAGTACCGGTTTAGGCACCAGAACCGTTTTAAAAGTATCGATTTGGCACCGGTATTGAAAAAAAATGCTTTTATTTCCAACAGTCAGAGGAAGATTAGAAGGGACATGTTAGCTTCACCGTCGGAAAGAGGGCGTTCACGCTCCACAGAGCCCATTCCTCAGCTGATGCGAGCAGGAAGTGCTGGCAGGGGGAGGAGTGTGTCTGTGGAGAGCAGGAGGAGTCGGTGCTCTTCAGAAGGATCAGTAGCTGAGTTTGAAGAGCTTGCTAGGCCTCTAAATAGCAGGCAAGTCAATAAACAAAACAGGTTGCTTATCCAAGTACTGTTGGCCAGGTTAAATGTGATGTCAGCTGGCTAATTAATTATTTCAGGACACTTGGTTCATCAGATCAAACCTGCCAAATAACAAGGTGTAGAGGAGCCTACACTTTTACTGCATTTTTTGCATTCCATATTTATTAGTCAAGACTAATATATACAAAAAGTTGTAATTTAATTTTACATTACCATTTTCTACCCTCTATCTGAAACCTTATTAAATCGGGTCTGTTCACTTTTTTTCAGCAAGGATGCATTAAATTGACCAAAAGTAACAGAAAAGACTTAATAATACAAGAACATAATACTGTATTTCAATTAAATGCTATTTTCTACTCAAAGAATCCTTAAAAATGTATCATGGTTTCCACAAAAATATTTCACAGCTGTTTTCAGCATTGATAATAATAAATAATTATAATATTGATAATAAAAATGTTTCTTGAGCACAAATCCATATTAGAATGATTTATGAAGACACTTATCATGTGACACTCAAGACTGCAGTAATAGCTGCTGAAAATTCAGCTTTGCATCACAAGAATAAATGTTTTAACATGTAGATGTTTTAAAGTTGTTATTAAATTATATGAAATTGTAATACTATTTCACAGTATTACTGTTTACTGTTTTACTTGATCAAATAAACGTTGCCTGGTGAGGGTAAGCAGCTTCTTTCAAAAACAAAAAAAACAAAAAAAATCATGTTCTCTTATTTTATGATGTTAAATTAACTAGTTCTAATATCAAATTAGTCAATTAACTTTTTAACTCATAGCAAATTAGACTGATATTATTGTTGTTTTTGATATTTATTTGTTTATTCATTTTTTTTGCAGAGGAAGGAAATTGGCATATAATGGTCCAGCTGTGGTGAGTAACAATGTGAAACATTAGGGTGTTTTGATTTAAGTTTTTGTTAATATTAGGTCTCAGATAATTGTAATTGCTGTTTTTTTCCCATCTAGTCCAGAGGAAGACACGTAAACAAAAAACCAATGTGTAGCACCCCGGCCCAAAGGATGAGAGCGGCAGGTACCACATAATTTCCTACTTAATTATTTGTATTTTTATTATTATATATTCGTCTGTAACCAATAGTATATACATGTAAGCCAAGTGTATTTTTTCTACTCAGACACATCTATTGACACGGGTGCTGACCTGTCCGAGATTGATGCTCGACTCCAGGCCCTGCAGGACTACATGCGGGACCTTGACACGGGACACTAATCCTGGTGGATTCAGATGTCAATCAAGGCTTTTTGCACAAAGACTGAGACTGAAAATCTTGGACAATAATTTCTTTCAAACACTGTGTACAGACATGTCTGTAACATTTATACTAGTTATACATGTCTGTCAATTATACTAATGAGACTCGAATGCCGTTTGTTTTCTTTATCCCTAATGTAACTTTTGGGCTTGACTCAAAATGCAGTTACACCAGTTTTGTGAAGGAGGTTCTTGAAACTGTTGCCATATCAGACTTGAAGTAAACCAGAAGTGTCCAAAAGAATGACCTCAGGATATACTGTTTTTATCACATTCATGTGTACATTTTATGAATTGGTGTTTGTTTGACCATTGTTGTTGTTGTTGTTTTTTATATATGATTAGTGTATATGTTTTATGTCCGTTTTAGATGCTCTCATGTTTTGTTTTTGTGAGATACTGAAAACAAAGGTTTTTTTATATAAAAGTATTTTGTTGTTCATGTCTATTCTTTACAGACACTCTAGAATTTATATCTTATATCATTGAGCATTAACAGAATGTGAGATGCATTTTATTTATACAGGTTATTGTTCCCATAAATCAACTGATAGAGCATGGCATTAGCAACACCGGGGTTACAGATTTGATACCAAGGTAGTGATTAAATGTATGTCTTTATGTAAATTGCTTTACATAAGCATCTGCCAAATGCATAACTGTAAAGATGCTGCAGAGATCATGTCTTTTGGCATCTAACGTTGCATCAGTTGTGGCCATTTTTAATCATTTTTGCCATTTCTCACGAAGTCTGTGTCTCTTATTTTTAATGTGACCCCACCAAAATCTTGTATGTAGAATATCAAATGCATTAAATTTGTCTTTAATTGTGGTAATAAGGCCAGAATTGTTAAACCTTTCTTGATTTATAAAATGACATGGTTGTCAATAGATTACAATCTGCTATATGATGTACAGTATACTTCAGCAGGTACAAGAGCTGTCCTGAATAGTCACAGCTAAAGGAATTTTGTGACATTGTGCATCAGTTGGACTAAAATGACTTGTGTGTTGCAGAATCAAACGTTGCTTTATCATGACAGTATGTCAAAGATTTCCATTAAATAATGACTTATGTTTCACCCTGTTTTTTACACGATTGTTGTCGCATGATTCCAGAAGATCGTGTGGGCAACTTTCGTGAATTGTGAATACTTTTATAGAGTTTCACATCCTCAAACATCTCAAAAGGTTTTATTTTTGAGTGAACTGTGCTTTTAAGTACTTTACCCAAATGCAAAACGCCCTTTTTAGAGACATTATTAAATATGTTAAAGGCATATTAAGAAAAGCATCAAGGCACAAATTATTTCATCCTGTACTGAGGTTTTTAAGCCAGTATTAAAGGACGTTGTCGACCACAGGTTAGGTGGCGCTGTAAATCTGATTTAGTGTTTTGACCTGTTCATTTTTGGCTCTGTTGCTTTAAAGATAAAAGGGCGGGGCAAAGATGTGCAGTCTGTTAACGTAACGCGTTAACAGTACGCCAATGCACTGAGCAAATGATACATTTTGCAATACTGCTGAAAGACGCATGTTGTTTGTACGTGAATATTTGTAGGTTCTTTAAATCTTTCAGGTGATTATTATTAATAATTTTCAGAGGCTAAAAGAATGTGATCACGGCACCTTAACGTTGAGAGTGGCCCAATATTGCTTTTATTCTGCAGCAGTGCGACGCGTCACACGCAAGGTGCGGCAGTGCCCAGCGCGAGCCGGTTACGATTTGGGTTTGGCCCTAATCTGGATAAACCCATCAACAACCTCAATGATCTTGTAGATCAGAAGCAGCGTGATGACTAAAACGCCCGATACCCCGGCACCCTGCGCGGGTATGGGTGATGTCCACCACAGCCATCCTGAGGAGCAACTCTCCAGACGCGCTCGCGTTGCTGTGCCTGAACTGATTGTTACCTGCGAGCCGTGTGTCACCGAGTGTGACGAGATCCCCCGCGGACCCTGCTCGGGCTCTCATCACCCCGACGAGGAGTCCATATGCTCGGACAGTGGGCTCAGCGGCTCCCCCGCCTCGTCCCTGGTAATCCAGTAGCGACCAGACTTGACTCTTTTTTTTGTTTTTTCATGTTCATTAAATAAGATTTCCAGTATTAACTAGTATCTATTCAGTTAGTCACTAGGCAGAGGTGTAAAGTATTGGAGTATTACAAAGTTACTTTACTACTATATCCTACTTTACGTGTAATTTTGAGGAATTTGTACTTTACTAGAGTTCTGTTAAAATCGAATAATTGCACTTTCAAGCATCAAAAGTCTATTTAAAAAGTTAGGAAATGTTTACTTTCATTCAAGTATTTTTTATTATTATTATTATTTATAGGTACTTAGACTTTTAACTGAGTAAAATGTTTGTCATAGTATCTATACTTGAACTTAAGTACAATTTCTCAGTATACACCCTTGAAAACTAATGTCAGTTTTATAAGTGACTAGGTGCTGTATTAAAATAGGCTACTTGTTTTTATTTCAGCTTTACTAGCACATGTTTAATAGAAGCTACCTATTTACATGACACTGAGTATTTTTTATTATTATTATTATTTATAGGTACTTAGACTTTTAACTGAGTAAAATGTTTGTCATAGTATCTATACTTGAACTTAAGTACAATTTCTCAGTATACACCCTTGAAAACTAATGTCAGTTTTATAAGTGACTAGGTGCTTTATTAAAATAGGCTACTTGTTTTTATTTCAGCTTTACTAGTACATGTTTAATAGAAGCTACCTATTTACATGACACTGGTACACTGTAAAAAATGCCCGTGAATTTAACGGTAAAAGACTGTAAAAATGCTACAGTAAAAACTTGTTAAATGGTTAACGGTAAATTCCCTTCCTATATACGGTGAAAAACTGTATTGGACATTACATGTATTAGACATCAATTTTACGGTAGTATACCGTTTTTGTTTAACTGTAAATTTAAGTTAAAACCGTAAAACCTAAAACGTTGCTACCGTATTTGTTACGGTAAAATTCCGGCAACCACAGCTGCCGGTTTTTTACCGTAAATTTTACAGAATTTTTTTTACAGTGTACATATCGATTGGTATTAGTAACATTTTAACTGACTAGATACTGTTTGTTGTTGTTGTTGTTTTAATTGTCATTAATAATGACTAGTCAGACTGGCTACTTCATAGTTCAATCAAACTATTAGTAAAATTACTAGTAACATTCTACTAACTAGTCACTTAGGACTACATAAAAGTGTATAATTAATAGTTACTAGTGTCTATTCAGTTAGTGGCCCTACTGGGTGTATACTTGTAGCTAGATACTAGTAACTATACTGTACCTTGGTGCTATCATGATACAACAACAAAACATGTTACCATGGTACTTTTTGTGATTTATTTTGTTAACTAACAATACATTTACTAAAAATACAACTGATCATTATTAGTTCCTGTGAGCTCAGGTCCATTAAATAATATTAACAGTTACAAATTTTGTAAAAATTTGTAAATGTTTAAGTAAATATGAATTAAGATTAATAAATGTTTGAGAAGTATTTTTTTCTTTGTTCGTTATTGTTAACTGATGTCGTTAACCAATGTTAACAAACAGAAGCTTGTACTAGCCTATAGATACCGTGGTAGCTTTTTTTTATTTATTGCAGGTGCATTGAATACAAATGTGCACAGAAGTGTATGCTGCAGATTGAAATATGCAGTTGTTGAACAATCCTCATGATAACTGATTAACACTATGGGCTTCAGGTCATGAGATCATTGTTTCTAAATGGAGGGGAAAATTCCACACGTTTTTCTAAACTACTTTTTTCCCCTCTCATGTTCTGATGATATTGGAGGAGTTAGAGGTTTGTATTGTAAAGAAGTGCATCTGAGTAGTACAAATGTCTCTTAAGAAGGTGTTCAAGTGAAAGCAGAGCAGCCAACATCATTGTGATAACAGTGAGTCAAATAAACTCAATGACATGTTCTAAAATCAACAAGGAATATTTATCATTGCAACTATAATGGTGTTTTAATATTGTCTGCATTGTGCTGTTGTAGGAGTTATACAGTCTCCAATCCTTAGTTTTGATGATAATACTGAATGGGATTTGATTCTATGGGTCATTAAGGTAAAAAAAAAAAAAAACTTGCCCATTGAGAAAATCACAATAGCGAGTGAATGCCGAACTGAACTTAAAAGGTCAACAGATGGATGCACCTCCAGCTCTGTATGGTGGGCCTCTCCTGCTTTGTTCTGGAGAATGTCATTCTTGTCTGACTGGTTTTCCACTAGCCAAGAGTGAGTGCGTGTTTGAGTTTGGAGAGCAGAGAGAACTGTACAGGGATGGAGGTTTAGTGGCTTCATACTGAGTGCTGACACTTGGAGGATCGTTACGCTTGATAGACTATGATTATCTCATTGTTACTGTATGTTGTTATAACTCATACAGTCATGTGTTACAGTGGCATAGGTTATTGTGTACAGTAGGATGGAAAGGCTTATGAAACGTCAGCTCAAGGGATCTTGTAGACCTTTTTTTGCCAACATCAAAACGGCGGACAGGAAGGAATCAGCGAATCAAGTCGGTCAGGAAGAGGTGTGGGTGAGCAGCAGAACTGATTTTTTTACTTTACTTTAACTGTTAGTCATTTAGCAGACGCCTTTATCCAAAGCGACTTACAAATAAGAAAAAGTAATTAAAACTAAAAGCTTAGTTTACTTAAAAAAAACTAAGTAAAAATAGTTTTGCTATTTTTATGGTGCAAATGGACCAGTGCATAACTGGTCCATTTTTTAAAAATGGATAGTTTACCCCAAATATGAACATTTTGTCAACATTTTCTTACCCCCATGTTGTTCCAAACCTGTATGAATTTCTTCTTTGGAATATAAAGAGATATTTTGAGAAATGTCTTAGTATTTGGTTTTTTTGTTTATTTTTTATTTTTTGTCCATACAGTGGAAGTCAGTGGTCACCAAAACTATTCGGTTACCAGCAGCATTCCTTCAAATATTCCTTATGTGTTCCACAGAAGAAAGTAATTTTCATACAAGTTTGGAATGAGAAAAGAGTGGATAAATGAATGTGGAATTTTCATTTTTGGGCAAACTATCGCTTGTCTTGCACACAAAAATAATGTGCGACCAGTATGCAGGGAAAAAAATATAGAAACAGTCATATAGAAACAGTTATGCAGACCCTTATGCCTGTGTCAAGGTCAATAAGTCCAGTATATTAATAATTTGACAAGCAAGGTTACCCACCAAAACGAAAAAATATTCATTCATAATACTTGTAAAAAAAACTGTATGTTTTACCTCAGAACTTTTACCTCTTTGTTGGGACTGTCATGTATGTGAGTGGCCACACTGGCTCCTTCATTTTATCTGGCAGCAAAACAAGTGCCGTCTGTAAATGTTTCATGAACCTCCTTCTAAGATTAGCTTTTTCTTCATCACAGTCACTTGGTATTGCTTGATGACTTTGTTTAGTCCGAGATTGTCGTCAATGATTTGCCAAATGAGGTGAAACTCGACCTATGGTTAATAGAGGAGAGGGAGTTGCCCGTTGGAGTCTGAAGTTGACTGAATGCACTCGGTGCCCCAGTGCAGCTCACTGGATAAGAAAATGAGAACAAAAGAGAAGACAAGAAAAGTCTCTAGCAACAAGCAACCCTGTACAGAACCATCGTGTACCATGCGGCGGCTCGTAGTCGTAGGGTGTTAACTGACATTTGAGTCTCATTCATCTTTTGTTTCTTTCCTATCTCCTCTTCAAAGACTGATCTGTGGAAGAAGTCCAAGAATATGGTGAACTGGTTTCCACTTCCAGTGACGGTGAAAAAGCGCTCTCCCTGGGTGCAGGTGGTCGGCCATGCAGGTTTGCTTGTTCATCTTTTAGATGTTTTTGACAATGTTATTGGTGATCCTTGAACTTTTGATGATTTTCAATGTCTGAAAGCTCACATTTTCACATCTAAATCTTGAATTCATTATTGTTGTATGGTCATGTGAAATGGATATAAAGCTAAAGATTTTATTTGTCTTACTTGGTGTTTTTGTTGCTGTGTTGGGTGATTCCATTTTTCGGACTCAGCGTGTTTTTGATGGTTCTCTAGGAAACTTTCAGACGGGCAGTGATGGAAGGCTGCTGAAGAAGTACTGCGAGTGTGAGAAGCAGTGTTTTCTGCAGCTCATGAGCGACTCACTGCGGCCCTTCATTCCTGGATACTATGGCGTGACTCAGCGTGAAGAGCAGGATTACAACCTCATGGACGACCTCCTCGCTGACTTTGACTCGCCCTGCATCATGGACTGCAAAATGGGGAGCCGGTGAGGATGTGATTTATAAATTCAGCAATTCAGCACTTATCACAGTACTTTTTTTCTTGCAGAACTGGTAAAACTGGTGCAAATTGCAGCTTTTTTTTTTAGCCAAGAACCTCTACTTAAACAGGAAGAGGCAATCTAACCAGCATGCAAAGCAACCAACCACAGTCTATTTTTGTATTTATGTGTGGTTTAGGAGCAGGTGATGCCAAAATAATGCACTGGCATGCAAAAAATATATTTTAGTCATGGCACAGCTGTCTTTACAAATGACTACATGAAAACACCATTAGTAAACTAACTACATTTTTTACAGAAATTGAATGTAACATTTTCATTTAGCTCAAAACTGGACAGTTTAGGTCAAATTGAACTCTATGCAGTTCAAGGTGTTCTCAGGTGATACATTAAACCTGTCATGATAAAGTTCTCTACTCTAGCATCATTTTTGGTCACAGTGCGTCCACACTCTTGATATATTTATAACATTATGTACACACAGTAAACTGACACAGTCAAAACACATAATCGAAGAAGTGAGAAAAGAAGAAATCAAACTTTTTTTGGTCAATGATTTTGGACCTCTAAAACTATTTTGGCCAAAACCAGTTTTTGTTTTAGCTCAATATTTTTGATGGCTGAAATTACAGTGCATCATTTTGAATTTGTGTTAATCCAAAATTAAATAATTAGTAACAAGTACTACTTAATAAATAGAAAACAAAGTTGAATCTACAATTTTGCAATTTTGGGTATCTAGTTACAAAACTGAATATTTTTCAAAGATATGATGCCACAAACCTGACAAAATCTGACAATTCCAACAACTTGTTCTTCCTCATAAGTGGGGATGCACAAGTTATTGGTGTCATATCAGTTATCGGCTGATATTATAGATTTGGTTAACCTATTAGTATCTGTTAATATTGTATTTCCTTTTTTTTTTTACTTGTACAGTATACCTTTGCCATCATCTAACCTTCACTTAAAAGGCAACATGAAATGAAAATGCACTATTTTAGTTCTTTTTTTTTATTAGACAAAATAGTATTGAATTGAAATGGGCCATTTATTGTTAATCGGCCACAACGCGAAATTAATTGGCAGCTTATCAGTATCCGACAGAATAAAAAAATCAGCACATCTCTGCTCACAAGCACTTATTATCATCAACCCATTTTTTTTTAACACAATTTCCAGCCAAATTTGATAACTTGTGTAGCTGGACTTGTTGCAGTCAGGCATTCAGACTGAAGCTTGTAATTATCATCAGTGCTGTCAGCATGTGGACTCTGGATTTTCTGTGAGTGTGACGTCTGTGGCTAAAGGTGATGATACACAGGGCTACTTTTTTAGCAATGTTACCAGGCAGGGTTGCCGAGCAATGTTGCTTGGGTACTTTCCCATTGAGAATGGGCAACAAATCAAAAAATCTATCTGGATACTTTAGATCAGTCGTGGGGCCTGTGTCTCACTTGGACCTGGTTGCCCGTTGACAGCAACATTGCTCAAAAAATTGCCCCGTGTATCATCACTATAAGACTACAATGCAGTAGACGGCAGTGTCCAAACAATAGTGGAAATATGATGACTGGTGGCCAGCAGCTCTGTTCATGTCATAGTGGACCAGTCCTGTTAAGCCAGTTCTAACATACAGACGACAATGTTTCCATACTAAATAATTATTCCTATGGTCATGTTGTCCTGTTTACTGTATGTGCTTTTAGGACTTACCTGGAGGAAGAGTTGAGGAAGGCCTGCGAGTGTCCTCAGCCACGCAAAGACATGTATGAAAAAATGATAGCAGTGGACCCGGACGCCCCTACTGAGGAGGAGCGGGCCCAGCAGGCGGTACTCAAAACCAGATACATGCAGTGGAGAGAAACCCTCAGCTCAACAGCCACGCTGGGCTTTCGCATCGAGGGCATCAAGGTAGACATGATTCAGGAAACCTCTGAATTTATACAGAGGTCAATAAACTATTCAAACCAATACTGACTGGAAATGCTTACTAGTATCTTATTTGATCTTTTCTTGTGATGGCTAAGTTTTATGTTTGGCCTTCGATATAATGTCTTGATATATTTGATCTGTCTTCAGAAATCAGATGGCACTTGTAACACTAACTTCAAGAGAACAAAGTACAAAGATGAGGTCATCCAAGCCCTGGAGGACTTTGTGGACAACAACATGTTAATCTTGGTATGAATTTGTGTTCGAACTGGGCAATATTTACAATATTTATCAAAAAATTTTATATATATATATTTAATATTATGTCTTAATTTATTGATATCTGTCAGTATTGAATATATAATTGTAAATCTTTAAATAAAATTGTTTTTTTTAATAAAATTGTTAAATGTAATATTTTTGTCAATACAATTGGAATTTTTCTGTACCTTATAATTTTGTGATGCCTGAATTCACTTGCAGCTTTTAAAATGTTTGATTTTATTTCTTTCTTTTTTTTTAATTAGACAAAATAGTATTGAATTTTAATATGGGCCATTTATTATTTATTGGCCACAAAATGAAAATAATTAGCAGCTTATTGTATAAAACAGAATTTAAATATCAGCGCAAATTTGTGTTAGAACTGGGCAATATAGTGAATTTTTACAATATGTTCATTATTATTTATTAATTCAAATGTGTATTTATAAATTGAAATTATAATTATTGATTATTATAATCATGAAGACAAACTATTTGTTTCTTGGAAATAACATGTACTGTTTTTCTTAATGTTTAAAATGTTTTAGTAAAAATATGAGTAGATAAATGTAATTATTGTTATAATTGTGTGTATAAATAAAAATGAATTCTATTTTACATCTTGCTTTTAAACATGTTGAATTTAGTTTTAATAATGGCTGTTTGGTTGAAATAATGGTTCCTCTGCCTGTGCCTCTTTTAACCATTAATCCATTTAACTGTTTAACTATTATGTAAACAAGTTAATTGTTTAGCTCTTCTGTTCACACAGAGAAGTTACCAACAACGCCTGAAGGAACTACGAGCTGTGCTGGAGAAATCAGATTTCTTTAAAGCACATGAGGTGAGATGCATCTTCATTTTCCAAATCCACTTTGTTCAGGAATCATACAGGCTTTAATAGGGATGGTCTTGCTGTGTTTTCCTGCAGGTGGTGGGCAGCTCCTTATTATTTATCCATGATCTGACTGGCAAGGCTGGAATCTGGATGATTGACTTTGGAAAGACTGTGCCCATGCCGCCCCCTCTTACCCTGGACCATCGCAGCCCGTGGGTGGAGGGCAACAGAGAGGACGGGTACCTCTGGGGCCTGGACAATTTTATTGACATTCTGACCAACGTTCTTCCGGGGAAATGAAAGGCATTGTGGATCTTCAGAATTGTCATTTTCTGCACAGACTGTCTGGTTTCCCTTTTTTTGTTTCTACATGGAGAATAGATGAAGGTAGGAGAGAATGAACCGATGGAATGGACTGACTGGCCTCAACATTTACTACAAGTCCTACTGATGAACATCTAAGCCTGTGAATTTACCTGCTGAAGCCCCTCGCTATGTTGTTGTTCTCACTACTTTTGAAAAGCTGCATGTATTTTTACACTGTAAATAGATTTTTATTTAAGCAGTTTGCTCTTAGGGGTTGATTAGTAAAAGATTAGCTTCGTTTCATGAACATTAACCCTGCAGATGAAAATCATTACAGTCGTCTTGTTTTGATAGATATGTTAAGCCATGCTTTTGAATACTAATGAAAATCTGGAACTTCGTAGTCTGTTTGTGATAGTTGCCAGATATTTTTCCTGCGTTTTACTTCATTTTTGTGACCAAACGTGTTTGGGGATGAACTGAATTGAAGTGCACACTATTAACAGTCCCATAAACTGAAGCTGAATCGAATCACAGAACAACAAAAACCTCTTGCACTTTTCTTAGTACTGTTTTAATAACATTGCATAGCTCCTGATATAAGAAAAATGTGTGTTTTGTGTTCTGTCTTAATCACGCACTATTTTAATTCACATCAAACACCGTTAGTTAAACTGTTATGCCTCACATTCCCATGTTGTGTGTTTTTTGCATGCAAACATGAGCTGCTGAACAGCCCCTGTTAATAGCAAATATATGCCAATTTGACTGAGAATGGTGTGTGGGATATTTGAGCCAGTGCTCCTTATGCACAAATTCAGTGTTTGCACTGTTAATTTGAAATCGCCTTATTGAGGTTTTGTACTGTATAATAAGTAAACGACTTGTGATCATTATGTTGGGAGCTTTGTTGTCCTGGCTGTTTTAGTTTTGCAGTTCTGGGTTCTGTGATGATAACTATTATAATATTTTTCCATGCTGGGTAATTTTGTAAAGGTGTTTGACTGTCAGCACAATAAACATAAACATGATGTGATTGTTTCCCCCCTCATCTTTCAAAGCCATACAAAGGTATAAACAGGGCTCCATGCTTAATGTTTGTTTAGGACCACGTGTGCTCCTAATTAAATTGGGAGCACAATGGAAAAATGTAGTAGCACCTTATGATCAATGACAGACATTCAAGCAACTGCATGTTATACATTTCTTAGTTTTTAATTTAAACTATAAAATCAGAATAATAAGACATATCTGGCTGTTACAAATGAAATCAGGATCAACAAAATCCTTGCGCTTCAGAGGTGCACAGATGCTACATCTGATGTGGCATTTATATGCATGCCTTATAGTAAGATATTAAAGTTCTAATAAAGACAAGATTTCCAATACTACTGTACATAATATTCAGTAGGAAAATTTAGTTTATTGAGTATGATTCTTAGAGGATTCTTTTTTTTCTTTCTTTTTTTTGATCCCATTAGGATCCTAAGGTTGTTTCTTCTGTGGAACACACACACACAAAAAAAAAAGAAAAAGAAAAATGTCTTTTTTTTTTGGTATGGTTTAACTCATGTTTAACCTATATATTTTCGGGTGATTTATTTTGGCCTATAATGGCTAAATAGCTTGTATCTTGTGAGAGCAACATCCAAACTTCACAAAACTTGATACACACAAACAGGACATTCAAGAAACATGCCAAATATCTAACCGCAATTTAAAAAATATCAGCCATTTATTTCCAATGTGAATGACAGATGAAGGCTGCAATACTACTGTTGTCCGCTGGAGGATAAGAACATTTTTTAAGTGTGATATTTTTGCTTCAGTGTAAATGGCAGAATATTTCCTGATTTCCTTTATGAAATAAATTCGGAAATTAGCATGTATTATTGTAAGCTGTTTCATCAAATACAATATCAATACAGATTACAATATCAGTAGAAAATCAAGATTGTTGACTTAGCTTCTTTTTTTTTTTAATTATTAGGAATTTCAGAGCCTGTAACCCAAGACGCTGGGATAGGTTCCAGGTTCCCGTCCAGCAGTTTGGAGAAGTTGGATTTCAGAATTTGATAGTATTTTGTATGTTGCCCTTTTGCTGCAATTAAAGCATGAAGCTGAGATCGAGCAGAAATCGTTGATTTATTTAGATCCATGTTTTCAGTAGGATTTCTAGCTAATATTCTGGAAGCCATATATTAAATGTTAATCTTTTATTTTCAGTTTATCGCAGTGCACAGAACAGCATTATGTTGCCTGGAGCAAACAAGCACAGTACTAACAACAGACAACACAATCCCATCCTCTGTTCCCACACAGCTCTTCCCCTGCTTTCTCCGCTAGCTCAGATGAATTGGAGCAGTCTGTACCATCATTTTGTCCTCCAAATCCACAAACACATTTCAGATGATGACTTAAACACATCAGGAAGGCTGTCTTGAAGGAAAATGATTATGTTATCATCTTGGCTGTTGCATACATCTTGGCTGTATGTATAAGAATATTCAGGAATCCAGGAAAGATGGCTGCATTGTTCTGGGACTTGGATTACGCTACAACTCCTCCACAGAAACCAGCTCTACAAATCATTTCTTTGTTCAGGCATACTAGTCCTGTGAGGTGAGATGTAATCTTTTACCATATAAGATAATCATTACACTTTGACCTGGTGAAAATGACCATCTTTTTTAGTTTCTATGATCGTTCACATTGTAGTTCACCCATGCAAGAAAGCTTAGACTGGCCTTCAAGTGAGCAAGTGGAGTTCACACGATTTAACCCCTCCAGAACTAAAGACAATACAGGTCTGGTAGCAGATTCTGCATGCTTTTGTTAGTGATAACATTCGGTCTGTAGTTCATTTCACTTAGTGTAATTTGCCTCTGGTATTTCATCATACATTTCAGAAGGAGAATGGCATATGGTAACAGCCACTCGCTCATTGCTTGGCAGGGAAAGAAGAGGCCAGAGGGAAGACCAGCAGAGGGTGTTTTACAACATCTTGCCAAGAGTGAGATTTAATTCTTTTTTATTTTATTTTATTTTATTTTGTATACTCCATCCTCTTCTCATAACATCTATTTTAAGAGATATAGGAGTCTAATGTCTACTGTACTCTGCTGTAGGTTAGAGCTTTGTTAAGTGCTACAGTCGGATCAGTCAAAATCACAAATAAATCAGGCAGTGCAATTTGGGAATTGGTACAATTGATTCATTGAAAATAAACATCTCAGAAGAATGAGTCATCTATGAACTCTTGCCCAAAGGTTTGATTTCTCCCCCACCCCCCAGAACTGAGTTTACAAAAAACAAGGACTGATCTTATTGTAACAATCACTAATGGTATCTACCAGGATTTGCTACCAATGCTATACAATGTTAAGGTTAGGGATAGGGTTAATATTTATTTCATCGTTTTGTAGGCAATCAACACTGTCATTGACATGATCAATAAAATAATTATAATTGGCCACTAAGCAGAGTTTGTGCTTGGACCTCGAATTTCAAAATAAATGAGGAATGGAACATTTTTCTGAAATGCTGCATTTAAAAAGCTGTTGGTGCTTAGAAATGAAGTAAAAGTTTCCCAAAAATTAAAATGCGGTAAAGTAAAGATAGCCTACTTGAAAATGTACATTAAGTGAAATTACTTCGCTACTGCTTACCATTTGCTTTTGACTCTTGAAAATTAAAGGAAGCTGTATTTGAAAGATAAGTAACAAATCAGTAAATTGGGGGCAATTAATCTTGACAATTTGTTGCAAACAAATCTTCTTTTTGTTTCGTAGGCGCATTTTCTCCAGCCAAATAGAGAATCAAGTGCTTTTTCACCCTATGCTAATGACTTCTGCTTGAATGGTAGAGATCCCAAGAACATTGCTGAGTCCCTCAGGAGCAGTCGTAAGCTGCACCCGCTGACACAGCCGGGCTTCTACAGTCCAAAAATCCCACGATCAAAACACTGTGAAGCTGCACAGTCCACAAAAAAATCTTCTTCTACAAACAACTTGAAGGAGTTCTTTGCTCACACCTTGCCTCTGCTGTGCTCCAAAACGGCTGTTCTCAAAACCAGGTGAGATGCATAAACCATGTCATAATGAAAAGTATGTGCAATTTATGTTGAAAAGGCCAGATTAAACCAGTATGAATTTCCATGATGCCTCACGATTGCTTTTCAGTCAAGATTGAGTACTTGAAATATTATTGTGCCCCTCGTTCCCCTCCCACCCATGAGATCCCACGGGGAGGGGTGGGACAGTCAGTAAAAAGTGGGATATTCCCACCACGTTGCATAGCGTTGTTCCCTGTCCCTAAATTCAATCAGTCCATCTATCACTGGAGTTCTGAGTCTGATTTGTTGTATTTTACTGGAAATTACCAACATCACCAAGAAAAAAGGACATTCGAATTGTAATGAAATGACTTTTATGTTTTTAAAATGGATCTGTCTTTATTTTTGCAGTGTATGTCCTTTTGCAATGTATGGACAGCTTACCTTATTCTTTGTTTTTATGTGTCTACAATATGTGTGTGTCTGTGGTCTTTGTGTTTTATTTCTGCCAGCCCTTTGTGTTCCAAACCACAAAAAGTTAAAACTTTTGTGGTGGAAAAGCCTCCTTTGATGAGAGCTGTGGTTTCTCAGACTTCACCAACCTCAAATCAACCGGACAAAGAGCACTTCAGCCAACTCCATCTAAGAGAGGACTGTCTCCCAATAGAACCCAATAGAAAACCTCCTAGATATGACCAACCTGTCTGGAGTCAGAGCCAGAATTTATTCACTGAGGATATTTCTACCAAGGATCATCTTTCTATTAACACAGTACATCTGTTCCCTGAACGCCAGTCTAGAGCAGACCAGCCTGCAACGCTTTGTCCCAAACTGGAAAAGGCAAATCATGAGAGATTTAACTTGAGTGTTGACACTGACATTAAACCATCTCAGGGTGACCCTGACCGGTCATGTCAACCTCAAACCAGCCCAGCTAAACCTGACTGCAGCCCAAAACAAAAGAAGACACAGTACACACAACATAGAGAAACCGGTGATGTTAGAAACACTGAGCACAACCGTGTAAAAAGGTAAGAGGATGGCAGATCTTTATAGGGTATTCTTATTATTTTTAGTGTACTATTTTCATAGTAGTAGCTAATAGTATTGTATAGTAGTGTGTGCAAATTGTAATAATGCTTTTAAAATTGCTGCTACCACAAGCACAATTTAGGTGCAGTTACTACTTTACAGTTACTACACTTCTCATTAGAATACTTGATTCTGATTGGTCAGTCGCGGCATTTAGTGTTCAGATTAATATTCATGTTGTTTATGGCAACACTATGTATCATTCTACTCATAGAATGAAAAAAAAAAAAAGACATTCAAATGCAAGGTCAAAAGACCTTAACTTTTTTAAAAACTTTTTTTTAACTTGAGCTGCGTTTTGTAACGTGTCAAAAAATCAATAAAAGTTATCATCTGAAACAAATTTTCTTAGTAGTTTGTTTTGCACTGGTTTAACTTTTTTTTTCCAGTCAGGTGAATGTGAACTCAAAGAATGTGTTTGGTCAGCCTCGAGTGATCGCATCACTGCGAGCAGCATGTTCCCCGCGGCCTGTTCGCAAGAGCACAGTGGTGGAGGACTTGAAAAAACTCATTGTGATGGACGACACACAGGACAGCGCTCAGGGTGATTCAGTATGTGATTTATTTGGCTCACATTCAGCAGTTTGACCCTAAACAACCTGACAACCTAGGACAATAATGTGAAAAAGCAGGTATTGTTCTGCTGAGTATTGGTATGTGAGCAGTGTTGCCATGTTGCAATGTGTTTACTGTCTATTTGTAGTCACCTCAACAAAAAGAGGCGGGGCTTTGCAGCAGTTTGCGAATGTCAGGTTCATGCCCAAGTCAATCATTATTCAGTCAAGCTTACCAATCAAACCCAGAGTCTCCCGCACTCACACCCATCCATCTCCACCTGCAAACACGTCAAACAGGCAAGAGTTATTCCTTCTATGAAGCATAACGTCATTATTATATGCTATAGCAGGGGTGTCCAAACGGACAAACCCACTTACAACCCATATTTCAGCCCATGTAGTAACCTTGTAGTACCCACATAAAAAATAAAGCTGGGGCCAAGATGGGTCTTGCGCATGTTGCCCAGTTGGGGCCCACCTGTTGGCAAGTACAATCCCACATGAAATCCATGTGGGCAATTGACATTGGGCCATTATGGAACCCGCGGACAATCCCATTTTGGGCCCACTTTTTCAGCCCATGTCAAACCCACATGGGCCCCACACACAAATGTTGGCTGGAATATAACATAGACTATTAAGACAGCTGCGGGCCGCTTAAAATTCATCCACGGGCTGCAGTTTGGACACCCCTGTGCTATAGTAATTATATGTTCTGTTGCAGCTCACATATATTCTGGTTTTATCAGTTGCTCTTCAACTGGTATGACCTTGACTTAAAGAGATTTTTGCTTTTTCTAGTATACATTGGCACTCACTGGTTGTCTTTTCCTAGAATGTGGAGGATCGCCTGAGCAGGCTGAATCTGACCTGTGGGACAGAGACCAGCATCCTGATCCTGAACTCATGTCCCTGCCAAGCACAGCCTGTGATCTCGACTGGAATAGTTTAGTTCAAGCAGCCTGAGAATATGAGAGTAAGTATCAAAGAACAAATAAATATGTTGAGTTAAGATTGTTCACATACAGTGGTCCCAAATGTCTATTTTTAAATTTAAGCCACATTTGCTATTGTATGTAATTGCAATAGATCAGGGGTGTCCAAACCTGTTCCTGGAGGCCCACTGTCCTGCGGAGTTTAGTTCCAACACAGGACAGAAGACAATGGCCTTCCAGGAACAGGGTTGGACACTTCTGTTCTAGAGCTTTTCTCTGAACTACCGTAACTTCATTTTTCTATGTCGTGAGACGCGAGGAAGTGGAATGGAAAAAAAACTAAACAAAATGCAAGGTCAAGAGACCTTAACTTCTTTAAAGTTAACTACTTTTAACTTGAGCCACATTTTTATAACGTTTTGTCAAGCGCAGAGGACATGATCTACTGAAAGTTAATGAAAGTGAATCTATTGTGTGTTCACATAGAAAAGCAGCACAGTGGCATGCAAAAATGCATTCTGTGTGAACGGCCCCTTATTCGTCTTTTTTTATATACTTCTTTGAGCCATTTTTGAAACTAACCCATTGCCATGGTGATTTTTAGTGGATGTATGAATATCCCTTAAAGTGATATTTATATTAATTTGTGATATTACTTAAATGTAACAGTTCAGTAAGAAGTTTAATATGAGTAACATGCATTTTGGACACAACATTGCCAGATGCTTTTAATTTGAACTCAGTAAGCAAAAATAGTTCCAAGTGAATCAGCATAAAGTGCCTCCAAGCATCACATGGCTGGGGTGATTCGTTCCTGAATGAATGAATCAGAATTTTTCAACAATTGTTCAATCATTTGCTTATAAAACAGTTTTTGTTTTGTTCCTGACTGAATCTGTTTGTTTTTTCTTCAAATAAATTAATAATTTTATTCAGACCGCCATTTGTAACTGCACACATAGTTATATGTTGTATAGTTGGCTTCATAATTTGTTTAATGCAATGACTTATTAGTAGTAGTATTAAAATAAATGATTCCATGATTACAATATATTTCCAGCACAAAGGATGGCAACCCTTTTGTCAGAAATGAGTCCTGTATCAAGCAGGCCAGACACACCGTCCCATGAAGAACCCTACAAGATCCACCAATCCAGCGCCTACTGCAGTGGAGAAGATATGGCGTAAGTGGGGCATAGTTTTATTAATTGAACGCAATTTTGGATTAATTTTCAAAACAGTAAATTAATGTTTAAACTGCTGAAAAACTACACTCTTAAAAATACATCTATGGTTCCATGAAGAACCTTTAACATCCATGGAACCTTTCCATTCCACAGAAGGTTTATTTTTATCCAAAAAAGTTCTTTAGATTATTAAATGTTCTTCACACTAAGAAAAAATGGTTCTTAAAAGAACTGTTCACTGAAAGGATCTTTGGGAAACCAAAATGGTTCATCACTGCAAAAACTCCCATTTGAAACCTTTATTTTTAAGAGCGTACATGAATATTAATTGCCTTGCATGCTCATTTTTTTTTAGCAGTGATGTATTCATTGACTTTCCCGACCAACTCTCTCACCTGGAAGGGATGCTTAGGCGACTGAGTGGTGACCTGCTGAAGGTGAGGCTCATTTAGCAGTTGATAAATGAGAAAAGTGTGTACTACGTGCTCTCATAGAGGACAAACACACTCACAAGCACCATGTGTTCCTCTTGTCCTCTGATTCAGGAGAAGAGAGACAAGGTGGCTCTTCTGGCAGAGGTGTTGAAGCTTCGCATTAGCAACCAACATCTGAGAGAAGAGTCCCTCTGTGCAGTTGCACAACTACACAAAATCAGCAACATTTTAAACACGACACCTGGAGGGATGGAGTAATGCAGGGTTGCAGACAAAGACTACAAATCTGGAAATCGCCAGACTTTTTTTTTTTTTTTTTTTACATTTTCTGCACTGATGTGGGAGGTAAAAATCTGCTGAATGGATTTAAAAATGGTAAGATTTGTTAAATGGAGCCATTAGTGACTGAAAGCCTAATCAAATTATTCGAAATATTTCATGAACAAACCTAGTATGTAGTAACTTATGAACGGACTTACAAATGACAATGTTCCAGTTCTTCTGAACTTCCTGCTGGCACAGGTCTCACATGAGCTTGAAAACCCAAACAAACTGAACTCAATCAAGGTTTATTAACAGCACAGTACAAACCAGAACAACTTTCATAAGGTTGGTAACTCTCTTGGGAAGCATATTACAGCTCCTCTAAGGCTTCTTTACTGAATAATTAGGTTAAGGCTATAAAAAAAGCTATAAACCAGCTTAATATAAAACATTATAATAAATATCTCAATCAAGGTTTATTAACAGCACAGTACAAACCAGAACAACTTTCATAAGGTTGGTAACTCTCTTGGGAAGCATATTACAGCTCCTCTAAGGCTTCTTTACTGAATAATTAGGTTAAGGCTATAAAAAAAAGCTATAAACCAGCTTAATATAAAACATTATAATAAATATATATACAAAGATAGATACTTAACAATTGCCATATATTATAAATAAGTAATACAAGTCTGAATGTTTAATCTACCAATTTTAAGTCACAATGAAAAATGCTGAAAACAGTATACGTACAAATGCTCTGTGATGATTAAAAACTGCAGAACAATAAAAAATATACTTAACACACAATAAATTAGTTATTTTAAAATCCCTGAGATGCAATTGTGTAAAATCACAACAGTGATTAACCTTAATAAAACTGTATCGAACTATACAATGCAGTTGTTTAAAAAACAGTAGTCTGTTTGGCCTGTTTTTCTTAGACCTTTCAAGCATATATTCTCAATGCAGTAGGTAACTGAGGTGTGAAGACCTTCATTTGACAGCTGCATACTTGTCTCTATAGGCCAGTAACATGTGCAGTGGACGGGGCACAGAGCGTTCTGCCTTCATTTCTGCCTCGTGTTTTTGAGCGCGTACATTGCGGTTCTGCTGGCGACTGAAGCTCCAGGCTTTCAAGCTAAAAAACGGAGAGAGGTTTATTTGAAATTGCACTGCAACAGACAAGCCTCAATGAAGATTGGAGAATTCAGAGAGCCTACCAGTACAAACGTCTCTCTCTCTTGGGCAAGATGTGCCATAGACTGGCTAACTCTTTAGTGACTGTAGTAGAGGGGATGCCGGGATAGGATCTATGCCGAAATAATATATTTATTTAGATGGGTTTAGTAGTGGATGTATCATTAATGTTAAGAAAAAATAGTACTTACACACACCTGATATATAATTTTCTGTTCATTCGGCAGAACATAATGAAGCCGTTGACACATTTCTTCTTAGGGTTTGGCTGTGTTGGACCACGTCCTCTTCTTGAAGTGTGCCTGTGTGAACAGACTTTTCTTGCTCTCTTCAGGGGAACGAGTTGTTCTGGGGTCTCATCTTTCGAGCTTTTGTTCTCTTCCTCACTCTTGAAGGACAGATTGCTGCCACTTCCAGCACTCATGACAGTCTTCCAATTTGCAGTACAGAGAAGATACCATAAATAAGAGAGCTCCATATCTCAATAAACTAATATACAATAGGGGTCCAAAAGTCCACAAGTGAAAATGCTTCTATTTTGCATTTTTTCTCTTTCCAATTTTGTCATTGTAATTTATATTTCAGCTTTTTGAGTGAAATGTTGACAGTCTGTACAAAGGAATCACATAATCAGTGTCAGAAATTTGCTTATTTGTAGATTCTTAAATTAATTTGACATCATAATGTTTCCTGATTTTACATTTTTGAAATGTAAAACGGCTTAAGCCTCAGAGACCCAATCATATTCATGATGTATTATCTTTTCCACTCTTAAAAATGTCTTTATGAAACCTTTTTTTTTTTTAGGCAGAATTTTCATTGGATTATAATTTGGAAAACGTTGCAGAATTGAAATGCTTGTTTGCATTTAGGGCTGCAAAATTTCACCATTTTTGATACAATAAGTGAAAGTTGTAAGTTAACCAGTAAAGATACAGTCAAGAAAAGTTATTTGTCTGTTTAAATACTGTAACAAATATTTATATCAAAGCATATTTTAAATGTTTGAATTGGAAAATATTGTTATTGGTACTGTTATATCAATGAGACAATAATGATGAAACTGGAATTTGAAAAAAAAAATTTTTTGGAAAATTGGGCTCCACTCTATGAGAACAGTATTCAAAAGTTTGACCACTAATGTCCAGCGTTGTATTTTTGCTACAAAAATGCAAGACAAATGATCTCAAATGTATATACTTTCAAAATTTCAGGGCATGTAAGCCTTTTCCCCATCACTAGACACTGTTACGTGTAGAAACACTTATTAAGTGAAAGTTAGGTATTATTTTATTTCTACAGTATACACAAACATTGCTGTTCTGTTTTGTTGGGTCTCTGAGGGTTAATCCCAGATTTTCATTGTGATCTCAGAGTTTTGAACCCCCCCTGTATATGCAGGTAAAGAAGGATCACAAAATGTGGCCTACTGAGTCATTTGCAAAGCTGCCTGGCAAGCTGGGACTTTTTAAGACGGTAGATTCTGGGGTGACCCACACGTCCTCGAATAATGCTGTTAGGGTAAAAAAAAATATTGTTCAGTCAGCATAACAGCAACACTGTCTTGTTTGTAATTTCACACTGTCAGTAATGTGCACATTTGGCTCAATTAAGCAGATTTTGCCTAACTGCCTAAAAGTTTTAGACAATACATTATTCATAAAACAACCAATGCATCTATTTAATAAATACATGCTCAGAAAAAAGGTACAAAAGCTGTCAGTGGGGCGGTGCCCTTTCAAAAGGCACTAATATGTACCAATCTGGTACAAATATGTACACTTGAGGGACTAATATGTACCTTTAAACTACTATTATGCTCCTTTTAAGGGTAAAGAAGGTACAAAGGTGTACTTTTTGAAAAGGTACCGCCCCAGTGACAGCTTTTGTACCTTTTTACTGAGTGTAGTATACATGCTAGTCTATATTAGTATAGAATGACTATCCAATAAAATATGTGTAGGCCTATATGGATTATCTTTACTTTGTAGCGCCTCTCGTCCTTCTGGATGGAGAGAACGGCTCAGGCCTTGAGAAGGTGATATGAGCAGAGATGGGTTGAGGGTCAGGCTGTCTGCTTCCCGAAGGGGTGGACGCAAAGGCAGTACTGTAGGCAATGTTTTTGGCAGCGTAGGGCTGAAAGGGAAACGCTTTTTCCATGCAGCCGGAAAAGCTCCAAGCATGGGGTCTTTCAGAAGAATTCCTGATCTGAAGATATAGCAAAACATAAAAATGAGTTACAAGCTTGCACACAGGTACATCTCAAGCTGTCATTTATCTGCTATTCACAAACATAAATTAAATATCCAATATACAAACCCGGATGGAGGTGTATCCAACATATTTCTCCCTGGGCTTCCATCTTCACTTCCTGTCTGGTCTTCACAGAAACTACAGGTAGATTCAGCTTCAGTGCTCCCTGATAACAATAAATAACCCTGGGTATCCTTTAAGTTTCAGTATGTGGATTTAATTTATATATAACACCAAAGAAAGACAAGATTTTTTCACCTGTATTGAAGGAGGAAGTTGTGGAGTTGGAATCTAGAGAGCTTTGTGATGGCTCGCTATCATCAATAGGCCACAGGTCTTTGTCTTCTGCCGTTTGGGCTTCTGACAAATTGCTTTGTCCGTCACACATAATCTGGTGTTCTTGCTGCTCCACAGCATTTATGATAAATCTCTCAGAGTTCTGGCTCTGAGGGTCCCTCTTTTTGTCACTTAACCGTACTGTTTATAAATGTATATATACAGCAGTGTAAATAAATACCATTTTATACAATATTATATTTTATATAATATATTTTATTTTTTAAATACATAAACGTCACCTGTATACTTGTTTATGCGACTGTAGGTGTACATGTTCTTGGCTTTTAGGAACTGAGGTGGTGTGCAAGATAATGGAGAGTCTTCACTCTCCGACTCTGATTCTGCAGACACAAAGGCCATAGACTTCAGTATGTATCACATGACCCCTTCCATATTTCAAAATATATGCATAAAAAACTTGCATTGAGCATAATTAATAAAGCAGCTGACTTCTCTCATTGTTTTCAGATAGACGGTGAGGATGACTCTTCAGACTATGAATGTGACTCTGGTGAAACTCAAAGCACTGCAGCATGTTTATCAGGGTGTCCTGTGGACACACACATAAAATAAGTTGTTTTTAATTATTATTATTTTTTACTATATGCATAATTTTACTATATATGTAGCAAATTAAAATATATTTTATTATGTTTGTATGTTTTTAACACCTAGAGAAACACACACACACACACATACTATTACATAACACACTTATTATACAACATTTTAAACAATAGCATTTAAAATACATTTTTATCACAGCTTACTGAGTATCACCGCGTTAATTTCGCGCTCTATTCAATGCCATATTTTAAAATGACTGATATGTCGCTTTACATTTCATTTTTGATTATTTTTTAAATGGATGTGTATTTTCTTGCGTAGGTATAGTTCCCTTACCTGAATTATTCTCTATGGAATGCACAATATACTGCGACTATTCACTAAATTAAATCTCCTCCAACATAGAACTTCTTAGAATGACATTGGACAAGAAAAGAGCCAATCAGCTTCAGCGCTTACACGGATTGGATAACGAGAGTTACACAGACCTCGTGACAATTGAGTACGTTACTGGGCTGCTTGGCCGTGAATGTTTTCATGAACTTTAAAGCTTATGTATATTTTGTTTAATGTTAAAATACTTTCTCCTATTCTAACTAAGGCATTTGTATGCACATTTTCGTAAAGTTAAAACAATGACTATCAGCCGTGTTTGAGCATCAAGACATAAGAACTATAGATATTTTCTGTAGATATGTAGGCCACATATCAATGATCAGCACGACATAGCAACATTTCTCAACCAATGATGTGACTTGAAGGCGTGGTTATCTGCGTAAGGAAGATGGAGTTTTACTGAAACCTTTGAAATACATTTTTGTCATTCGTTTCGGTGACGCTAGGGGTGCATACATTTCACATATCAGCTACCACGTGCAAATATGTGCAAAAAATAAAATAGTTATCTGCCAAAATAATTTCCCTTTAATCTCCATCTTAGAATGTTTTAATAAGATACTTAAATATTTTTAACCTGTTATTAAATGTTGACTACATAGTTTCCCCATAGTTAAAAGGATAGTTCACCTTTAGTTGTTGGTCCCCATTGACTTCCATAGTATGGAAAAAAACACTATGCAAGTCAATGAGGACCAGCAACTGAAGGTGAACTATCCCTTTATGCTCAAATGCATGTGAATATGAAATATATGTAATATTTATAATTCTATATTACTGCTAAGTAACTAGAGTGAGGAGGACATCGAGGACCCGCCAGAGTGGGATGAGGAGCTACGCAGATCGCTGTCCTGTTCTATCTCAATAACGTCGACTGCAGAACTGAGAACACGATCATTTACAGGCTGCATCGTCAAGATGCATATCGAGGACGAATCAGACCGGCGTTGGTGATGAAATATTCCCCAGACTCAGTCCTCTCTACGTTCAGCACAATGAGCTGTTCATTTCCTGCGCCCGCGGTGGATTTGATAGAGCAATGGTGCGCCAGTCCCGGACTGATGGTGAGTGTGTCTATCAGGAAAAATCTGCTTTTCGGGCTCCGCATCTTTTGTGGCAACTAACAATTGAAGTGCTTCGCCATTTAATTTAGTTGTTTGAATGAAATAAGCCCCTGTTATTAACTATTTATCGATATAATTATTTTATGACTTATTCTATTGTATATTTAAGTGCTCTAGTTTATTAATTATTGTAATGTTTTACAAACTAAATGCATACATCAACGGAAAAAAAAAAACAGGTTGAGAAATGCACCAGATTATAAAAATGACTCTAAGCAATTGGGAATCATAGTTTAGTTTGATTTGTGTAAATAAGTCAGCTTTGTGGTATTTTTAACTGCTTGTTGTATTCCCATTTCACGCAGGTTTAATCTTATTTTGGCATCCATCGTAAACACAAGATGAACAGCATACGGTACAAAGCAGCGACTGTCAGGTGGTGGAACTATTCTGTAGCGCGCTGTGACCATGCACGTATGTGCCGCGTGCGAATACTACTGCTGTGCTTGCGCGTGCTGGTGGCGATTACATTAACACTGGCAGTATCACTGTCTAAACACCAAAAGGTAGATTATGATTTTCCTCCCAAACCTCCCGACCTATTCAAAGACAAGGTAAGAGGACTGCAGACATTCATTTTATAATGTCACTTCTTTTCATGTAAACATTTGGGTCATTTGATGATGTGTTTTTATTATTATCATATTCCCATTTCACGCAGGTTTAATCTTATTTTGGCATCCATCGTAAACACAAGATGAACAGCATACGGTACAAAGCAGCGACTGTCAGCTGGTGGAACTAT